TATAATTTGAACTAACATATATAGTTTGTTAAATTTTCAACTTTAAATTAATGAAATTTTAAATAAAATTATTTTTTATTATATAACTTACTTTAAAAACATTTTAATAATTATTGCAGATATTTTGTGGGTGGGTACTTGCCAAATGCGCCGCAAGATTTTGTGGATAATGAGGGAGCAGAGGTACCTCTCTGAACAAAGGAGAAAACGTCATGGAAATACTTTATCGGGTGGTGTTATTGCCACAGCTTCAAAGGTTAATACCACAGCTTTTTTAATTAATTAACCATTAACCCACGCGGAGAAGGTGATGACTGCTGCAAGTTGGATTCAAAATGAGGGGTATAATAGTCAAATAACTAAAAAAAGCTGTGGCATTAACATTAGTGGCTGTGGCAATAACCCCACCCACTTTATCCCGTAATTTACCAAAAATTGTTCAAACTTTGAACTTTGAACTTTGAAGCGTATATATTGATATAGTGCTGGTCCCATAACTTTACCAATTTAAAATATATCACAACTTTATTATCCCTTCGGTAATTATTTAGCCACTTTATGTGCATGATTATTTTTCTATATGGAGTATTTTATACTCCCCTCATTTTAAAGCAATTATTGTTTCTTATTTTAAATTTATTTTAAATTTATTATTATTTTTTATAAATAAATATTTTTTCTCATATATATTTATTTTAATTAATTATTTTATTTAAAAATTTTATCTTTTATATTATTTAAAAATATATAAGTAAATACAAAAATCATTATTAAATAAAAAATAATTATTTTAGAATTAAGAAAGTAACAAATACTCAAATACAAGTAGTTCTTTTTATTCGGGATATATTTGAATAAAATTTAGTGAAGGGGAGGGGAAGTGAAAGATTAGTGTTAATTTTATTTGAATAAACAAATGTGGATGGGAGAGGAGAATAATATTTTTATTTAATTAAATTATTTAAATAAATAAAATATTATAAAATAAAATTTTTTAGTTTTACTGACTAGACAAATAATTAAAATAATATATTTATATTCAAAATTT